TATATATATATATATATATATATATATATATATATATATATATATATATATATATATATATATATATAACTAGTTAACTATAGCTGGGGAATATATATCTTCAGGCTCTGTGTAATATCATTGTGCTGCTTCAACATGGTACAGCTGTAAAGTTCCTTTATTATTACGCCGAAATGAGAGTACCTGACCATATCGGCCAACGTTTCATTTTCCACCAGTCTTTACACGATAGAACTACTGAAGGGTCGAGCTTAAAAAAAAAATTAAACTCTTTTTTGAGTAAGATGTTAATCTTCTGATCTAATTAGATGATTTATGCTAAGCTAAAACTGCTCCCGCTAGACCCAGAGATTGGCTGAATGGATTCAACAATGCTAAAAGTAAAATGTTTATATGTAAACTGTGAACTGTACTGTTTTTTAAGAGCCAAGACACATTGCTATTAAAAATGTATCATTAATAGATCATGTTTGAAAATGAGCCACAAGAGCTGCAGAAACTTCTCCACTCATTTGTGTTTCAGATGCAGGTCATGTCAGTTCATCATAGCAACCCTTTATTTCCCCAACACACACACTGGAGCTTTTTTTCAGATTTATAGGATAGGACAGATGTAATATGCTCTCACTGAACTTCCTTCCAGACATCTGTGTGGTGATGTTGCGTTTGATTATTGATCTTTTAGTAACATCTGCATCTGTGTCTTTTTTTTGTTTCAGCTAAGAGGTTTGGAGTGACGGACGTGCCGCTGGAGGCAGTGAACTTTATTTCTCACGCCACGCAGTCCAGATTACGCACGGTGCTGGAGAAAGTTTCCTCCATTGCACAGCACAGAATGGACTCGTGTAAGGTACGAGAGGCTTTTATTCAGATGGTGCTGCTTTTAAAGGGACAGTTCACCTAAAACTGAAAGTTCTGCTTATCATTTACTTGTTTAAAACCCTTATGAGTTTATTTTCTTTTATTTCTTTATACTTTATTTTAGATTACTTAGATTTGACATATTCTTTGTATTTTCCTTTCTTTAACTGCAACAATATAGGGTAAAACATGGGAAGCTACAAGACATTTAAAAATTACTTTTAAAATAAATGAATAAATAAATAAAAGAAAGAATGAATGAATAAATTAAATTAAATTAAATTAAATTAATGAATAAATAAATACATATTTATATAGGCTGCTTTAAAGGAACAGTTCACCCAAAACTGAAAATTTTACTCACATTTACTTGTTTAACACCTTTATGAGTTTCTTTATTCTGTTTTTTTAATACTTTATGGTAAGCTTTTTACATTTTTATTTTTATTTTACATTTTTGTTTTCAGAAATAAAATACAAATAAGACCTACCTAGATTTTATATGTGTTTTATATTTTCCTCCCTTTAACAGCAACTATATAGGGTAAGACATTTATTTGTTAATAAATAAATAAATAAAAATGAACAAATAAATAAATGAAAAAATAAAAAACAAATAAAAAGCAAATAAAAATAAGTAAAATTAAAAATAAATAAATAAAATAGGGGAGCTCATTCAAAACAATTACCTTTAAAATAATAAATAAATAAATAAACAAATAAATAAAATAAAAATGAATGAATGAA